AAAGAGGCAACTGTCCACAAAGGAAATAGCTCAGCCAAAAGCTATGCATGCCCATCATTCAGTTGAGCAAAGACTGACTTCAGCCATCTAAGAAACGTGAACGAAGAGTTAGCTTGAAAAAAATAAAAATATACATATAACTCACCTTGTAGACTCCTAGAAATAGATTTTACTTGTTTTCCAGAAAAAAAAAAAAAAAAACAAACAAATAAATCAGCCCTGTTTTTTCTCTCAAACATACCTCCCTATATTCCACAGATACCCAAGAACCAGGAGGATGGGACAAGGTAATAGAGAGCGATTTTCACCCAGATAAAACAACACTGTCCCCTCTCCATCCAAATCATCATATTGCTATGCCTGCAATATGACTTTTTGTCAAAGTGCTTTCATAGTTCGCAGCCAATGAAAACGCTGTTTCCAGGATTTACATTCCTATAGTATGTACTTAACAGCATGTATACTTCTGTATCAATTCACATTTGTATATTAATTGGATACACTTAAATGCAGTCCATGCAAAGGCTCCCTGCCAACAACCTACACACAATAACAAAGTACTGATGCAGATACCTAATGGAGGCTTAAATACATCCCTTATGCAGAAGTGAGCCAGAAGTTTGGCTGGAGTGCTGCAAGAAGTTCTCCAGAACCCAGCCCACCCAGGTTTTATGACTTGACAGAATTAGCTGCTATTAGACATGGCTTAAGCAACACAATACACAGGATTTGCCTCTTCTTTCAAACATCTTTCACTCTGACACTATTCAGGACATTGACAGACTCCCTGCACACCACCTGAAAATACCTTATTCAGAACCAAGAAAAACCTTTTCATAACGAATTAGTACCATTGAAATAAATGTACTATGAGAACAGGATTTGAACAGTAAGATCAGCTTCTATCTCTACAGTTACTTCTCCTGTCTGCCATCCCAGACCGTATGCATTAGATTCATGCTTCAGGGAAAAACAAAACCAAACAACCACTGAGGTAGGATCTCTATGCAAATAAAGAAAAAACATTGCTGCTAGACCTCGTGCTGCATTTGCAGAAGCCATAAAAATATACAGTAGAAAGGCAGGCTCTGAATGGTTTCAACAAAAAGAAGCATTTGGTGACCACATGTCAGAAACCATTCATTGGATTTGATTGCTATACAGTTAGTCCAAACCAAAAGATTTTCGTAAGAAGTACTGGCTCTCCAGTACTTTTTATCCTCTATCCAGTACTCTTTTTATCCTGAAGCTGACCTTTTTCTCCAAGCAGCTCCTCAAATTTGCTTTTCAACTTTCCTGGGCAAGGGCATATGCACTTCTCTTCCCTGGTAAAAGGCAAAAAGCAACACACAAAACATGACAAACATTTTTAAATTACAAAGGAAGACAGTTTTTGACTCTAAAAAGCACATTGTAATGCAGTAATAAATGAAGTTGCTCATACACACAAGAGTATTCAGGTAGTGCTGGACTATTTTACTGCCTGTGTAATGGCCGTAGGCAAGACTGGAACAGCAGAGCTGTGTTCATTGCGCTCTAGGCACACTGAGGTCCCTCTCTAAACCTTATCTTCAGAAATCTCAGCAGCAAAATGCCCCTCTACATCAACACTGGGCAGCATTAGTGACAGAAAGGCCTCTCCTGTTACATGGTGTGAGGAACAGATCCCAGACTAATGGATTCCACTTGCAGTCCCAAGACTGATGCTCTCAATGGCAGCATCAAATGAAATCAGTAACGTTCAGAACTTCAA